TTGATAAAAGATTCTTATTATGTCTTTGCACCTGGCCACAACCTTGCCCTTTCCCCATTCAGCACTGTGGCACCAGGAACAATTGGACATCATGTTTAAATACTTCATCATGTGGTCGGTCAGTCTGTGTCTTCTGCCAGCTCTTTTGGGCAGGCACAGAGCAGCAGGTGTCTATTCACGCAACCCTTTGTCGTGAGCGGAGGGCTGCTGGGCTGTTATGGGACCGTTCCACTGGTCAGGAGCAGGGGGTGGCTGGGAATGAGACCTGGGAGATGACCCGGGACTCTAGAGCTGTCCTGTTAGCAAGCCACCCTCCTCCTCTCACTCACACATGGGCAGCGTGTTTGTATATTGTTTTGTTTTGTTGTTATGGTCCCATACAGAAATTTTCTAGATGGATTATTTCCTACCACTTTAATTATCATTATGTTGCGCTTAACTGTAGAATAGAACGCATGTCTGCTGTGCTCAAGTAATTATCCAATTAGATCAAAAGTCTTGTTCAAGTATATACATAGACTTGCTCCTTTTATTTGTCTTTCCTTTTTTAATATAACAATAATATGATAAAGCCAGAATATTAGTCTATCCATTGCGGCAAGATATGTAATTTCTATTATCTAAAACATTGCATGATCGTATATTTTATAAATCCATGAGAACAAATCTATCCATTCAGATGTCACAACATGTAAAATTATATATATATATATATATATATATATATATATATATATATATATATATATATATATATATATATATATATATATATATATATATATATATATCTTTATCACAGATTATCTGTGGTGGAGAATACACAATGCTGTTTCAAACCTTATCCTTTGACACTTGGACCACGTTTGGTAAATCTATTAGTGGAGAATAGGACTAACATGGGATTTAAAAATGCGGCATTGGCACACTCTCTCATGAGGTTAACAAACTCTCATAAGCTGCTTTTGAAATGTAAAAATCTGGGCCAGTCCTTGAAGGAGGTCATTTGCTTTCACGGTGACAGATTGTGCGGCTGGACGTGCATGGTTATTAGCTATCAGCATGTATCACAGGGATTTGGACATACTAGTAAGATGCTCTTAAGCCTCTGCTAAGTCAGTATGTTCCTTCCTGTCCATTTCATTATCAAATGCATAATCGTCCAGTGCCCAGGATGGACTCCGGGCCAGAGGCGCTACCTGCCCCATCCTCTATTTGGACTTAAGCTTCCGCTCAAGACCACTGCCCCACCCAGAGGTTTGCTTTATGATCACAGGAGCCCCATAAATTAAATTAAGGTGTCAATTAGTCAATTAGGCCGTAATAACTCTGAGGGCAGACCTTTAGAGGCAGAGGACCTGGACTAAGTTCATTTGAGCCGGGCGCTGGGCACACGTCACTGCCCGCCCAGGCCGCCCTCGATGAGCCCCAGTGCTCTGCCTAATGTTATTTTCCCCACTGTATCTTTTTGGATCAACAATTTCCTTTCATGGCTTTGTTTTATGCATGTAGGGGATACACTTTTTCTATCCCCAATTTGGCTAGGGAGAATTCTATAATTTGGTAATTAAAATCTTTGTTAGGGTTTAGAAATTGCATCTAATTGAATTTAATGGGAAGATGAATTTCAATTTTATTAGATTAGGAGGACCCCTGGCATAGGTATTTATGGAAAAAAACTCAACAAAAATATGCTGTGTGGGCTAAGATGGCATAATAGAATTACAGATAATCGCATTTGGCTGTCATGAATTTCGCTCTAATTTCACTATAATTTTCCATTAGATAGCTGCTTTACAAATATTTGCTCGTCTGCGATGGGAAAGGCTATCTGTCTAAAATGATTACGGAGGCAGCCTTCAGAAATATGTCCCCCTTTTTCCCCTCCCTTTTAAAAACCAGATTGCGAGGGATCAAAATTAGGCAGATTGCATTATGGATGTCTGCATCCGGAGAGCAGTGGGGGAGATATGATGATTACGGCTGGGGGATGAAAGCAGTGTCAAGAAAAATGTATGACTCAAAAACATAGACCCATTCTATCTCCAAAATCTGTGCTCTCAACGCTCGGGCACCAACCGGACTGGCCAACCATAACTCATGAGGGATTATGGAGCTGAATGTTTTAAAAGAGTGTGGACAAATAATGAAACTAATGAAAACTTATTGCAAATTAGCCCAAATGGTCATACTGAAGGAACTAGCCAACCATATTAGACCAAACAAATGACAAGTACATTCTTATCTTGTGTTGTTGTGTCAACCACTAGCTTCCACAAGTGCTTGTTGTCTTTCTGGGGCCCATCCATTTTACAATTTTAGTTGAATTGTAGAAGTGGAAGACATGTTCACCTTTAGACACTTAAATAAACATATTTACAAAACATTCTGTCCATCCATCCATCCATTTTCTTCCCCTTAATCCATTTCTGGGTCGGGGGGGTGGCAGTCAGAGCTGCACCCAGTACACAGAGCACCAGCCCCTCACTGATCCTCCTGCAGGTGGTGAGTCCACAGGAGCTGAGATGTTTCAGAGGGGGCTTCAGGCAAAGTGGGTTTAAGTGTCTTGCCCAAGGACACAACGACAGCAGACATCAGTGGGAGTCGTGAAGTAGGACTTACGGTGGGATTGAACCCACGACCTTCAGGCTCTAAGCCCAATGCTCTACCAACTGAGCTACTGTCGCCCCCCATATTTACAAAACATTCTGCTTTCTGTTTAATGTTTTACCCTGATAAAAAAAAAGTGGTATTCATCTTTATTTTGGCAATGTTGGCAATTTTGGGATTTTTTTTATCCCAGGCAGAACTTGAAAGCTGTCTTCAAACCTTTTTGTAATCCGCAATTACCGGTATATCTTTTTCCTCTAACCAAAATGAATGGTAACCTAACTTTCAAACATGCACAGAAAAGTGTATGTCTAATTGGTATCTAGCGCTTCTTTCACTACATTTCACATTCATATCGTGTTCATGTCAAATCTTTCAATCAGCTTTTTCAGACAGAATAGTGAAAAGGAGAGGTTCTTGCACAGTCAATCATCTCCCACATGACGCTTTCTGTTGGTATTAGGTGTTGTTCATGAAACGTTAGGTAAGGTAGGTGAGTGTTTGCATAAATAACTCCATTTAATCCAATGGGTAGTTGCAAAAGTAAAAAGAACACATGAAGTTGAGTTAAAATTCAACCCATGAGGAGGAGCTCTGGATTCAACAAGCAAAATATTACGCTAAAATATACTGTAGGTATACCTCACTGGGGGTTAAGCTGTCTTCAACATGTATGTAGTCTCCATACATTGCATTGAGTATAGTTAAAGTTGTGTCCTCACCACTTTTCTCTCTGCGCTGTCTTCCACCTCATACAAATCATTGCTAAAAGAATAATATCTCAGTATGTGCATTATGTATGTACTCAAAAGCAATTATGAAAATATAATGAGAATGTGAAGCATCATTGTGGTGAGTGATGCAAATGGTGATCATCAAGAAGCACTGTATTGTTTTGGCTATACTTATGTTTTAATATTCAACCCCTTTCCTGGCTCAAAAATAAATATATAATGCAATCTAACAGACGTGAGAGGGAATAATATCGCACACAGCAGACTACCTACAATAACAGCACAGTGAACTCCGGCTCTATCCCACTTAAAAGCCCCAGCTGCAGAATTAAGCTTTTACACATTCAATTTCCTGCCAATTTGACGACAACATGACACTGAATATCAGCCGGGATAAAACTACAGAAACGTTATTTGTCTGTTTGAGCAAGAACACTGGAGTCGTGTTTGGAGCTGGTTTTAGCCAAGCTTACTGGCAAAAGAGGTTCACTCACAACTTTGCAAATTTACAAATTAGGTTTGTTTTTCTAATATTTATCTGACAAAGAAAATTCTGATTTCAGCACCCTTTGTACTTCCGATTGGAGCACGGTATTGTGGTTGGTCTTCGTCAAAGCATTAGTGCAACTAAGAAAAATAATGAGAACTCTAGTATAAACTGTATAAGCACTTCTCTTTGCTGGTTTACGGTGTCATAAGCAAATGTTACAAATCTTATCATGGCTATTGCTTTTGGAGACCTTTGATATAGACAATAACAAAGATTAAAAAAAAAAATCATAACCAACACAGGCCACCCTAGATAACCATGTGTTTTCCCTTCTCATAAAAGCTGCTCTCTTTCTTTAGACTACCTAACACTTCATTCTTTAACTACAGAAGTGACCATGAAAGAGGTTTCCATGTCTGCCCCAACAATAGAGATCTATGTTCTGTGCCAAGTCTGGTGTCTGAATCTATGGTAGTGTGTAGATGGGCACATGTGCCAGTCTATGGTATTGCAAGTGTTTGTGCATGTACGGGTTGATGGTAGTGCATATGTGTTTGCGTGGCAGGCACAAAAAGCAGCAGTTCTGCCATAGAAGGCAGAAGGCATAGATAGTCATAGCTGCACAATGGATCATTCTTTAGCAGACTTCTCTGCTCTTCTTGACAGAGATATGCAACCATCTGCATTTTGATCATAAATGGCTGCTTCAATTTAATTGTCACTAGAGCTCTCAGTAAAGAGGAGCACACTGTGTACGTTTGTACTTGAGGGCTCCTGATTTGCTGATGTATGCTAATACGTGGACTAGACCCCTTGCAAGATTGTGCCCTCATTTAATTTTATCAAAAAAGTTTGATTAGTTGAGATAGTATACTCTATTTTAAAAAAATAGTTTTACAGTAGTCAAGTGGCAGTTTGACAAATAGTTGAAGAAACCTGCATAGTTTAAGAAGTTGATTGGCTGAGTGAGGGTGGTCCTCTCATTTTCATTTTTCTGTCTGAAAAAGCTGTTAGAGGCCAAAAATACATAGAACCGAACTATTTTAAGAGCGAAGACTGTAGTTTGATGGCTTTATCGTAGATAGAACTGTAGTCATATTTCTATTTTTTTGTCTGAAAGATGGGTCCCCCCGCTTTAAGTTGTTTGCATTAAATTGCATTTGTATTTAGTCACATTTTTTTCCGTTCATACAAAAAAGTATAAGCTCATGACGCTTAAACTTGATCTCAAGTGTGACTCTCATGTCTGTCCACACCCCCCACCTGTACCTCCACCAGTCACCCCCCACACTCCCCCACCCCTGTCCCTCTGCCCCATGCTGCTCGCGCCCACTCCATCTCTTCCCCGTTGCCCTGAACTGCCATCGCCGCGGTGAGGGCTTCACAAACACAATCCGACCGTCGGCAAAGGTCAGATTTCTCACTCTGCGTGTCTCTGCGCTTTGGGCACAAAAGCCACTGAATTCACATCTTTCAAGCGGGCCCTGCGCCTTTGTCCCACGGATCGGAGGGGGACTCTGCACCAGACCTGCCCCTCCCGGAGTGCGCGATCGGGGGGCGAGCCGGACGTCTGCAGCCCCTGCTTTTTGACTGATGTCACAAGCACACAAACCGCTCACACGCAAGCACGGGTTTTCTGAGGCTGCCCTGGACATTCCCCCCGCGCGGCACCCGACAATAGCCCTCTGCCCACTTCAAACGCAAAACCCCGCAGATGTCTTTGAAAAGTAATGGTTTCAGGCCTCTGAGATGGCAGCTCCAGGGCCAGAAGGCTGCGATGCATGAAGTGGAGTAACCTGCCTCCCACAGACACGGCGTTTTTCCCCCCTTTTTTTCTTATAACTTGGCCAACCAAAAAACGCCCCTAATATCACAATATCAAGAGCGAGATCCTAGAGGGGTTTTGCTGGCGTCTCTGCACACAAAGAGGTACAATGTAAGAAGATAATAGACATGTCCTCATTACTTCACCTGAGATAACCTGCTGTAAATCAGTCAGAAGGATCTCTGTTTCACCAAAGCTAAACGACACACACAAAGATGTACAGTAGAGTGTCACCTATAGCTGGCTTGAAGAGTTGTCCTCGTGATGTCAGAGGAATGCATTGGCATAAACCAACAATACAACAAGTACTCTATGTACTTGTAATATTGTTCAAGTTTGCATCATGTTATTAGTTTTAATAATTACACAGGGTGAGAAGTTACTTATAAGTTTTCTTTTTTTTTTCACTCAAGAAATCAATGTCATAAGCCTATTGTGTGGCTGGAGTGTCTCCTGAAGCTGGGTTACCAATCTTTTATAGTTTCATAAATAATCCATGTGGTTTATCCAACAAAAGGAGTCTTGTCAAAGTAAAATGTTTTGTTACTTATTAGAAAACAATCTATAGCGTACTCTGCGAGTCACTTTTGGACATTTGGTGGAGAACTGATTGGCTTCACTTTCTGTCTGAAAAAGCAGATCTAAAGATGTGGTTTGGTCCAAACATGGGATAAAACCATTTTAGAGCCAGGAACTAGTTAGATAGATAGTCCAGATATAACTAACAACTTGGAATAGATTTCATTTTAAAGAGGGTATCAGGTTGTTTTAAAACACGAGATTGGCAGATACAAAGCATTCTGGATATAAAATGGTGCTTAGGGTATAGTATTACTCTGTAAAGTCATGTTGGCACATACTGTACTTGTCAAAACACATAGTATTGAGTTCATTCTTCAGAGAAACTTGTTTATCCAGTGAACTAAGGCACAAAGATGTGCTGTTTGACACAGAGATGACAGATTTAATCAACTTAACAGAAAGTGCTTGCGTGCCAATTCAAGTCACAATAGAAAATGTCACCAAAACAATATTTGTTTTTACAGTTTAAAGTTGGCCCGAGGGTTGGACATTTTTACCTTATTTGGGCATTACTCTTTGTGACTGTTAATAAGGAGGAGACTGAATTTATTTCTCCATTATTAACGTGCATGAGTCATCATTTCAAATAAACCAAAACCTGTTTTATGTGCATACTTTGGACTTTGCAAACAACAGCCGGGAACTGAAGCCAAACTGCGTATCATTTAAGCCATAAATGTGCTGTTTCCTCTTTTCTGTCCCAGTCATAAACCTGCTGAAAAGTCATGTTAAACTATGGTGTTTGTTTTCCTGCAAATCCACATTCTTCAACTATGGCTTTGTTTTTTTTGTAACTATGTATTATGTTCAAACTGAGGCACTTTGCATGGCACTGCGGAAGAAACTGCCAGGCAAATCATGGGTTTGTCTTATAAAGTATTCATTGTCACCTGGTAACGGCTGGCCTTTATCATTTCACCTGAAATTACAATGAAAACAGATAGTGTGTTATCAGATTCAGAGGGAACTGAAGAAGTCACCACACCAGACCAGTGTTTTTTAAATTAATTAATTAAAGTATTTGTGAGTAATGGTAATAACATTACTCTGTATTTTTGAGTAATGGTAATAGTTTTATCAGTAAAAAGAAGTCAAAGCAGTCTGTTGGTAAAACATATACTAACTACAGAGTCTATTTTCTACATATTCAAGCACAACGAACAAACATGAATTAATTAAACCCATTTACCATATATTGCTAGATAGAGCTAATGTTACCATCTCAAGCCACTAGAGGTCAGGGGGATTGATTAATTGTAGGTCACTATATATTAGTTGTGATATTAGTTTGACATGACACTCCAACTATTTGACATTATCACCAAAAATGTTTGTGTAAAATATATATAAAATCCCCAAAACATTTGTTTAATCAAAACAAGAATTGCATTGGAAAATATTCCAATACATCACCAAATTTATTTTTTAAACACCGTTATGATATACCGATATTTAGTTTTACGCTGCATTTTATCATGTACAACTTTTCTGTAATTTTCAAGTGTATGATTCTACCTCATTTCATCCTACACAAGCAATTATACTCCAAATTTACTCCAACAACTTACAATTTACTCAAACAACATATTTTACAATGTAATAATGAAATCATTGTATTTAATTTTGTGAATCTTTATGCAGTGGGCAACATTATTATTCATTTGCAAGGCCATGTAAGTACTTGCAAAAGAGTTTTAACCGCTTCACTTGTCACTCCTGTATTCTGTTGCCCGTATTGTCCAAACTGTCACTTTTCTATCCCTGCAGCCTTTTAAAGACTCTAGCTCATTTGAATAGAGGCAGAGCAGGCTCCACCCCGAGAGAGTTGAAAGGCTAGACGACCACAAAGATGGAGAAGGCCAGCCCACTCAGGGAGGGGGAAAAACAGTGGCCGGGCTCCTCTGCCATAATTTCCTATGAGCCTATTGAGACAACATCACCAACCAACTGCTTAGGCTCCGCGCGTGTGTCCTCGAGTGTGTGAGCGGAGAAGCGGAGAAGGAGAGACAGCGACAGAGCCAAGGAAGAGGAAGGGAAGGGGCAGGTTCCACCCCCGTACACCCCCTCACCACCACCAGCACTGTTGTCGAACCGCGAGGAGGAGGTGGGGCCAAAGCCAGGAGAGCTGCCAATCAAACGCGCTCGTGGCAGCCGGCATTATCTCAGCAACAAACTATTGACAGATTACATGTCAAGGAGTTTAGTGCATGATTGAGAAGGAAGACTTGTTTTTTATAGTGACTTTTCTTCAACTTCCCAACCATTCGAATGACTTTGATTCAAGAGTTTGAAGTTGTATTATGAAAGTTACATGTCTGAGAGGATTTAAGATCGACTTCCCTGAATATGGTGAGTACTATTATTACTACTACTACTACTTCTATCCTCTTCTTTTTATTAGCTGTCAGTTTTAAGGAGTGCCTTTATCTCTACACACAAATGCAGGAGTTGCGTGCCAGTGTGTACAGTAGGTGCCCGGCAGTTGCGACACCCTTATTTATGGCTTTGACAGTGCCCAAAGGTGACTACAATATCAAATATGATTCTTACGAGCGCAGTGCGAATGGTGGCGCTGGGACAGAAAGTTCACCAGAAGCAGTTTCATTTTCATTCACTTACAAAACCCTCATTTATTTTGCTCATGTGTGTTTTCTTCTGTGCGTTCTGTCAGCTATATATTTACAGACATCAGTGTTACTTACAAAAGGGATGCTATTTGCGTGCATTGAATGGCCTCGGGGCTAGTTGTCAAGGGGACAAAGCAAACAAACTGTTATATTGCTTATGTGCTGTACTCAAAACGCAAAAGGGAACAGCTCTAGCACCTTAGCAGCTTCTTAATTCTTAAAGCAGAACTATTTTTATAACTTTGACATTCATCTGTTATTTTTACTACCAGCTTTGTATATTAGCCTACTTTACACAGGTACATGGTTGATAAACTTACTAAATAGTTATTGTTAATGCATTTTTAACCGCATTGTTATAGTAAGTTAACACCACTGCTATTACCACTACTGCAATTACAATAATAGCATACATTCAAAGTCAGATGCAAGTGCACGCCATTTTCATGTTTTCTCCTCTCTCACAACTGCAACAATTAATACTGTGTTTTCTGTATTAACTATTCATAAAATATGTTCAGGAATATATTTTTATATATATACATACTTCGATCATAAAAATTGTTAATTTTTCAAAATTTTCTTCTGTACTTTGGTGAGACTGGATTTCTCTTATAATATTTATGACACATTATACTTCTTTTGACAAATATTATCATCCCGAGTTTGCTCCATGTTTTTTTATGGTTGACACCGAGAGACAGAAGTAAACCCATTATATATAATTATGACAACTCCACAAGTGAAGTGCAACTTTTACAAACACACTTTGATTGAGCCTTTTTTGATGCTTTTGATAATGTGTTACTCCATACAAAAATATTTATATCAAGCAAGAACCATGGTTTTCATTTTATAGTCATAGCAGTTTTGTTTGAATATAGATAATATGAATATTCACTTTTTTATTATTATTATATTATATTTATTTCATATAATAAAGTTGAATTTTATAGGCCACTTCACATGTTTATACGTGAGATTTCTGTAAATGGATTTGAATTATAAAGAGGCTGTCAGATAGGTTGTGTGCTTGGCTGCCTGTGACCGCATAGTTGCAAAAACACGTTGCACAGTCAGTCTCGAGTGCTGCTTCATTATTATTACTGCAGTTATTTAAGGTAGCTTTGAATTATACTTTAAAAATCGCAACAAACAAGTACAAGTGTTTTTCTGACACACCTTAATTTCCAAGTTTTCGTCAGCGAGGGAAATGTTTTTCCAGCCTCTTGTGACTCATAATGTTGATTGCATTCTACTTCAGTGGCTTGTCTCATTAACCCCAGCCATATCTTTTTATGGATATTTTTTTCTACTTTAAAATTGTGCACAAAGAGCAAAAATTAAGGGGTAAAATATAAAGTGTGCTGTATTTTGTAAAGGCCTTTAATATTTTTTATCACAAAATTCCCAATAACCCTGAATCAATTTGATGTCTTAAACAATAAAATATGCTGTTGCACTCTTCCTATTCCTTGGCAGTAAATTTACATTTTTTAATTAAACTAGCCTGAATTTTTATTAGGGGGCAGGGCTATGCTAATGGGAATGTTGTGTACAGCTGATTAACAGAGTTTGGATATAAATTTTAAACAGAAAAAGAAGAGGTGAGGAAATAAGCGAGAACCTTTATAAATATCATATAATGTGTGTAAACCCTTTGATGCTTGTCTCTCCAGAGGCGTCCTGCAAGTGTCAGGGCTCCACAGCAACCAGGTGATTAGGATCGCCTTGTCAACCCAAGAAAACACAGGCAGGGGAAAAGAATACATTTGCATCATAGGATATTCTGCTTTAAATGCTAATAATACAATGAACAATCGTGAAAAATCTATGTCCAATCAATATTACATATTTCATTCAGAATTCATATTTAATTAAAGTTGTATTGGATATAATCCAACATTGCCATCCCAAGATTGTTTCTTCTTGTTTGTGTAAAGTAGTTTATTTTTTTAATATAATTTAAATGATATAACACATATATCTTCAATTTGTGCTTTCATATTGTTAAATATTACTCATCCTTTAAACAAAAGTAATCATTATAGTAATTATTTGAAATAAAACTAATTGAATTATTAGTAATTGTCAATTGTGATCACTTTCAAACTTATAGATAGCATGAATTAACTTGTATGACTGCCCTATAGTTGTGTCAGTTTGCCGGTGCACTGTGCTGTGGTGGCGGATGCTGCGCTTGCCGTTGTGTGTGTTGTGCCTTTAGCAGCTCATCGGGGGGAGAGCAGAGTGTGGAAAGGGGGGACCAACGGGACAACAGCAACACGGGACGAGGCAGGAGGTGTGCGTGTGCATGTATGTGTGTTTATCTGTGCGCACGACTTGGTGCGTCAGGGGGGCGCATCCGAAACAGAGAAGGCAGCTGATAAACCATGTGCCCAGTCATCTCCAACAAGCGCACCATAATTACCTTAACCCCCATCTTTTAAACCTTTCCAAGTGGATTTTGTGTCTCTATTCTTGTGGTCCAGAGACATCAAACAGTTTTATAAAGTCCGGATGCACGTGTGTGGGGGGCCAGCGCGCTGCTCTCTCTAAGTGGGCTATACTTGATACGCAGCGGCGAGCGCATGCAAAGCTCCTCTTCCCTCCCTGCAATCTCGTGCTCTGGCCAGCTCATAATTAAAACCTCAAAGCTTCCCAATCTGGATTAATGGACTAATTAATACGAGAAATATTCCTCAGTGATAAACAGGTAGCACCTATTACTTGCATTTGATATGACAAACCGGGTGAGTTTCACAGCATAGATTCACACGGTTCAAAATATGTTTTGAAAGTAGTAAGACATAAGTTATAGGGTATATGTATTATTATTATTTTTTTGATAAGACATTTTCAGTGTTCCCTTGGATTTCATATCTTAAATGTATGAATGATGTTTTTTTTTCAAATAGCGAAATTAAGTAAAATCTGAAATAAATGAAAATCTAAAATTTATGAAAACAATTTGCAGCATGAAATCTGAATTTGCAGTGTCATGGCCAGCCAGAATATCCACCCTGTTTAGTGTTCTTTATGACTTCCTAATCTCACATATGAAAATTATAATTTCATGCAAAGTAAAGGGAGAGGCATAATCTCCAGTGGCTGATACAGCGTATAAGAGGAAGAAAAGGGGCCAAAATGAAGAGGTAATTAGTGAAGTGGAAGACACAGGGGCTGGGGCTCTATCCTCCGCTACTGGCCATGAATGAATTTGCATGCTCTGCTTATCGACACGCACTTATTAGGCCATGGCTAAAAGAGCGATTAAGGCGGCACAAAAATGTGGTACTAATCCCTTTAAATTTGGCGATGGGGGGGTCTGTGTTTGGTTGGAGGTGGGAGCGGGGGTCTTTAAGGTGTGGAAAGGTTGTATGGAATGTGACACACAAGTTTCCGGTGCGATGATGAGTGGAGAGGAAAGGAGGAAGAGGCACCTTTAACTGTTTAATGACAACAGTGATTGACACCAGTAATAAAGTGATGCTTTATCGGCTGACTCTCTTATCAGGAGGAACAAATATAGCTGGTGGGGGTCAGTCGGGGTTAAGACAATGACTGAAGACCGGCGGGCCACCATCGTTGCTTCACCAGCTTTTCAGGATTTCAAAGTTTGTCAACAGCAGAAGAATCAATAAACAAATCTTAGCTTAAAAAATATTGACCCAATGATGATGATGATGGAAAAAGTGTGATCCCTCCTCTGAAAGTGCATTTTTAACGCTACTCTCACACACATGCAAGGTAGGACATAGACAATAGATTTTAATATGAAAGTTAAAAAAAATACTTGAAACTCACTCTTAAACATTTCTAATCCAATCCAATGATTTACTATCAAATAATTGTCTCTTTGAAGAAAGTTAATCATGACTTGGTCCAACAATAATGGACTACATCACCTACCTATATGAATAATTGTTGGCATATAAAAGCAAAATAAAAACTGATCTAAACTAATCTAAAAAAACCCAAAAAGATTTCATTACAAAAATTTCAAATAATTCGAATTTGTTTTCCCATATCTATTTATCAAAGAATCCTGAACAAGTCTTTTAACCACACACCACCTTTCTTGTTCTTCCCACCTCGGCAAGATCAACTTATTTTACTATTTTATCTTCTCTTTGGTCAGTAGCAAGCGCACCCGTAATAATGAGTGTCTGTACATGATAAATCCGCAGCTGTTCTTTTCTGTCACTGGCCAACTGCGAAAGATAGAGGAGACTGGAGCTCACACAGGCACATGCTGGTATTAGCAAGAGGGGGCAGGGAGGGAAGACGAAGCGAGGAGTTTGCAGTTTGGAGGATTTCGTGGCTTTTTTTCTCCTCAGTAACTTGATAGGATTACATGGTTGCAGAGCCCACACCTGTTAAGAGGCTGTTAGCAGAGCAGTTGGCGGTCCGGTATATTAGCTGCAACTTAGCCCCTTTTGTATATGTACTGTATGTATGAGGTCATGCTGGTGTTCCAAAAACTTTGTGTATAGTAGAAATAGATGTAAAACTGTGCGTCTTGTGTTAGAATTTTAATATATGTTATGTTGGTTTTGATTGATTGAATATAATATAAAGTTGTTTTGCATAATTCTTTGAACATTTATCAATAATCTGTCTTTCTATTCCTTCAGCTATCCTCTTTAAAGGATATTGTTTATAGCAGTGCAATTTGGAGGATTTAGGTGAAACATATTTATTGTGTTTGACATGTACTTT